CGTTCGCCCATTAATCATGAATCCGTCTTTATTTACTTGCTTCAATAAGTTCGTCTGATCATAGCTTAATTAAAAAAATTCCCAGGAGGCACACACCTCTCCTTAAACCAAAATAATTTTGTTGGTAAGTTCTTTATTAAACCAGACAGTTTGCGAGCTTTTCATTATTGCAACTTAGTTTGCGTTTTTTCATACATCCCGCAAGTTTTTCATATTCTTTTAATCTATGTACGATTCAAGTTCGGAACAAAATTAATTAAACGGCAAAGTTCGATGCTTTTTTTCCAAGTCGCCGTTTTTTAAATCGTGCAATGCACGACGGTGTGATCTTTTTACCACACAATTCCATAAATCACGCAAAACTACCCGCCTATCTCTGACGTACAAATTGTGGCAACAAGGATTTTCATACATTTACGTCGCACCTCCGCGACACTCTTATTTCACCCCAAAATATTTCCAGACAAGGGAAAATTCCGATTCTTTTGTTTCGATGATTAATTAATTTTTTGGACAATAAAAATTTTGTCGTAATGGAAATGAGAAGTTAAAGCTTATAATGGGCCTAAAACGACAGCTTTTTCAAAGCGAAGCACTGGCAGGTGTCTCCAGGGATCCATGATCTGAAATGACTTTCGAAAATTACTTCGGCTTGCATAATGGGAGGTTGGTGGATTGGAAATTTTTTTGGTGCATTATTAAACAGCGTTTAGGCAAATTGTCTACACAGCATAGGTACATAAAATTGTCTTGCTCTAGTTTTTAAAATTACAAAATTATTTTCTGCCAGCATGAATTTTCTCGCATTTCAGTCACAGCAGGTCACAAATATATTAATTTGCGCAAAACGCATTTCCGGTAGCAATAATTACAACATCAAAGAGTCGAGTGGTGCAATATTTACGGTGCTTTTTTATTTCTAATCAAACTTAAAAATATTTCCTGGGGTTTGCTATTGCCCGAAAACTCATTTCGGCTCATGTTTCAAAAAATTAAGTGACATCCAAAGTAAATATGTCAATTTTATTTGATATTTCCTTATAGCACCAATAAAATATGTCTGGCTAACAAGGGTTCTCGAGCATCCTTATGAAAAATGTTTCATTATAGAGACCCGCTTAGACTAGGCTTTTTTGGGCATATTTCATAACGAGAAATCACATTCTAAGTGTGCGGTTAACCGATATCTGGGTGGTCCTCAATTAAACCGTGCTCCGCGATTTTCCCCAGGGTTGTTGTAAATCATTGCAGCAGAGGGCACTACTATCGTGTTGCGGCTATGTTAACACTGTTATATTCGATATGAATTTGAAGCTATTGCTTTTATATCTTTTCACGAATGTTTGTAAAGCATGTTTTAATAATTTTAATTTTAATTAACATAAAATAATTATTCACCGCAGAGACAAAGAAGAGATTACGACTTTTGTGAGCTCGAACACTATTTAAATTTTTTGTTGGCTTCTCGATCGACGGACTCGTATGGTTTGCACTAATTTCCACAAAGTGATACATGGCTAAAATCGGGACACAATTCGTTTTCGAAGCGACGGAAAAAATATATAGGTTGTGGTCGATGAAACTGTACTGACTTTTAAATAAATACGCATTGCGGGACGTTGATTTAGCGATTTAAAATTTAAAACGACCGCCTTTTTGTTAAAGAGGGCACCACGTGTAAAAATACGTCTAAACTGATTGGTTGAAGTCTTTGGCAAATAAATTTCTTAACTGTCAATTAGAAAATTGGAATTTTAATTAATTTTGTTGATTTTAGCCTGAAAAATGTCATTATTGCCAGCTCCTGTTCGTGTTTCTCCTTTAATTAAATTATGTCGCTGGACTCTTCTAATAGTTGGGATATATCATGGGGCCACAAAACACAGCAGATTAGCTAAAATTGAAGCGGTGGTACGAGAAGAAGAATGTAGATGTAAAGCTATAAGAGATCAAGAATTAGCTGTGCAGAAAGAAATTGCTAACGAAAAAGAACTTGGGGAATTGGAAAAAACCTTTACAGGAAAATAAACTTTTATAATTTTCATGTCAAATAATAATTTGTAATTAAACAATCTTGTGTAAAATAAAAATGCTCCAAAAATGGTTTATTTTTACTTTGAACCTCACAAAAACAAATATAGGTAATAAACTAATAAATAAATTAAAAAACACAATATAAGACTTGTAGATCTTCAGGTTGTCACAACATTTACATTATTTTAAAAATCTTATACAAGAAAGAACGATTTTCTGCTCTGTTAACGCTGGAAATGTCTGTATTTTTTCTAACTATTTATTCGTGAGAGATAATTTCCATCAATTTGGGATATTTTCCAACTCCAGCATGAATAAACCCACTTTTTCCATTTTGCCATTCCTTCGAACCGGAAACAGTTTCATCCTTTCGTCTAGCTGTTAGCTTATTCCCCATAGAGAGATATTTTTTACTGTAGTGCTGTATGTCTGTGATTCAATTTAGTCTCGAGAAAAATGAGTTATCCGATCCGACCATAACGCGTACATTTTACAAACAATTTGTCTCTTGAAGTATCTTTTATCGTCTGGAATTAAATGTCTCTGTGTATAAATAAACCCTTAATAAAATAATAGTTCTTAGACCGGTGTAAAAGAACCCCTGTAGTGATCAAGGGATAAAATGTGAGCTCATTTAGTTCTTTCTTCTTTTTTTGTAACAGAAATTTTACGACGATCAGATAACGACACGGGTCATTTCATTTATCTTTCCAATAAAGAAGATTTTATCATTATCATGAAAGCGCGACAATTGTGTTGTGAAGAGAAATCATTGCTAAATAATGAAATCAGGCCGTAAATTAATTTTTTGTATACGCTCTCAAAAATAACTATTTTACGGACGTACTCGTACTTACGTCCCTAAAATGAGTTTTTTCTTGGACCCGATAGAATAGTATGTTTAGTACTTTTTTTATTTTCAACCGCTATTTTTGAGAAATTAATCATACGTAATAAAAGGTTTGAGTGTGTTTTTAGAAACTTTAACAAATACATATTGTTTGTAAGATATACCTAAAAAGTTTTTGCGGACTCACTTGCAAATCCAGAAACTGTAACAAATCGTCAGCAAAAATTATATTTATTTTGAGGTTTATTTTCGAGCAGATTCATCCATTTTTATTTTGTACGCACGTTGCTTAAATTTTATTGTTTTCATGAGCTTCGAGGGAGTGATCTCTTACATTTGCTTTTGTTAAAGTAAAACAGTTTCAAAGCAACTATTAGCCCACGGTGTATAAAGACGGTAACGTTATATCTTCTGTTAAATGATTCCATTATGATCTACCTAATGTTAAGTAAACGCAATTTACCTTCTAACGAAATATGGCAACTTGCAAATTAACTCAAATATAATAGCAGAGTTCATAAATATAAAGTTTTAGCGAAAAATTATAATCCTTTGTCAAAAAGTAACTTTTCGGTAAAATTATCTCACCTCGACATTTCAATGTTTCAGTGCACTGAAACTTTTGCACTACGACGACCAAACTTTACTACTTAAATAGATATATGGATTGGAAAAATAACAAAAACATTTCCGTTTCCTGACAATAATCTTATTTTGTTTTTTTTTGCAGACAAATAATTCAAATTTATGTTGAATGCTTAGTGTGAATATGTAACATATCTGTGACTGCACGAAAATCTTGATCTTTTAAGTTAAAAAATTTCGTGGTTGTTTTTAAAGTTTTTATTTTTTTCAAAATATAAATTTATTAAGTTTAAGATTTATAATTCACGTGATACACTCTTTTAAAATTACTTTTTAATACCCTTTAATCAAAGTACAAAGTTATATTTATGAAGACAAACAAATAAATTAGCAGCTATGTTAATTTTTTAATCGAACACTTGTGAGTACTACTAGTAGCTGTTTAAGTTCACCCCTCCCTAATGACTTTATCCGTGGACAATTTTCCATGTTTTACAGCAAAATCCACTCACGCGCTTTTATCCAAATCCACTTAAAATAATAAATCTCCTTATTATTCATAACTTTTATTTACCCCAAGGGAGTGGACACCTCTTCTTGATTTTCGGCACGTCCAACAAGGAAGGCCGACAAACCGGCTAACTAGCCTCGCCAAATTTAATTTGACGGTCTCGATAATTCTTTATTTAGGGCTCAGCCTTTCGAAATTCAGTTACTTGTTAGTAGCAGATTAAAATTTGAAAGTCTAATCACCAATCAGGTTTCTATTAGGCTGATCTGAAGCATTATTTAAACGCGGAATAATAAAAAGTTGAAGTTGTTTCAGATTTAAAGTAATAAAAATGTAAGTCATATCTATCCGATATCTTTATCTGGCGTTTTTCACCGGTGTTGGAACATAAAAGGGATGATTTATTGGGGCGAGTTTGGCCGACTTGGAATTGGAACGATTCAATCAATTGCAAAGCTGCAGCGAAGTAACCACTGCATTGCAAAGCTATCACTTTGATCGGATTTTATTGCATTATCCGGGGAAAAATCGATCAAAAGCTGGAATACACGTGTTGACAGACGGTACCAATTAACCTTAAGCCGAATCAGCAACATCTATTGTAGTCTCCTGTAATCATCTATCACAAACACACAAACAACTTTTGTCACACGTTTTTTAAACAAATATTTGGAGTTGAAGTTATGAGAAGAAAGGTACCTACGTGTAAACGAGAAATAGATATATATATAGATATATATATATATATTTCGGGTCGTAAATTTTTTTATTACAATTGCTAACATTACAAAAATATGGAGTGATGAAAACGTAAAAGCCGTACAGCTTAGTTTACATTACTACTTGACATAAAATTTCATTCGAATGGATGTGTTTTAGTGGAAATGAAAGTTGTACTCGATTCTTGGTGAGAGGCTCAAAATGAAATTCTAACAATGATTGCGTCTAATCTGTTCAATATGGATGAAGCTGAAGAAGACTTAATGAAAGTTGAAAGAGAAACAAAGTGGATTTTTTATCATTTCAAATTCTTTATAAAAAAGTAAATACAAATACTTAATTTACTCCTCACAATTTGTCACTTTAACAATTTCAACTTGAAACCATTTTTAATAATTTTGGTTTTCAAAGCAAATTTCCTTAAATCACATAAAAATATAAAAGCAGTTGAAACAGTTGTTGTCACGGAATTTGTCTCAATTAAAAATGTTATTTAAAATAATGACACCATTTTTTTCCAGATTTACGGTACCTAGCGTTCTGATTTACATTAGCAATCTATTTATAAATCCACTGATTCGGCGCTAATTGTCTAATTTTACCACGTTTAAGCATAACTGATTAATCTCAACGTTATCAATATGTCAATACATGCATATTGACTTTAATAATTACAAACAATGGCATTCCAACCCTTGATCAGTAACATATTCAGATGACTAAATTCATGAAATTTTAAACAGGAACAAATTTCGGAGAATTTTCTCGCAAACATCGAAAAGTTTCAAAAGTGGTTTGTTCGGGAGTATCTTTTCGAATAGTGCATTTGATGAGAATTCTGTCAACTTCCTCATCATCTTCGATAACTCTTTTCAGTTTAATTTTAATTTGGTTGATTATAATATTCCCGGAACTGTCCACCAGGTTGGCTTTTTTGGCAAAACAAAGACAGTGTTTTTTAATTTTCTCATCAACAGAATCAAATTCATTGTTTCTGATTTTATTGATGGCTTCTTGTGAAACTCCGATCAAAACTTTGCACTCATCACTCCATTTTTTCCAGTTATTTTTCTGCTCTTCCGTTAGATGCTAAAATAAAAATGAAAAGAAAAAAAAATTAGTAATAAATTTCTCACCTGTGCGCTTGCAGCAATAATGACCAAAACAAGGCAAGTGTAAACGTTCATTGTTACTACAACAATGATTTGTTTTAGGAATAATTCGATTTATGTTATCACAGGATTACCAAAGTCCACAAGTTCAGATTTGTTTATCTAGAGAGATAAAAATGTAAACATTTAAGGGTAGGTAAGCATTTATTTTCCTGCAATCAACGTCGTTGCATAATGCAATAAAGTCAGAATCTTAACGACGTTCCGTCTCTAAATAATCTCAAAGACTCAGAAGTGCATTTAAAAATAAATAGATGCTCCAGTCAAACGTTCAATTTGAATATTTTATACCCTTTAATGGAATAATTTATCCCGATTTCGGTGTATCTTAATTCTGACAGTTTAATATCCTGATCCGATAAAAAATGTGCTAATGTGAACAAGTGAAACAGTTCCGGTTCCGCCCTGTCACATACCAAATTTATTAAAACGCCAAGTTAGAGGGATTGTGTGATGGATGAAATAAAATGTTTTTTCCTTGTAAACAGGAAATGTTGCGAGAGGCGTAATATTATAGAGTGGGTCTTACTTTGGCTTTAATTTTTTTCAACGATTGGAGCTGACACTTAGGTTGAAACCGGTCAAGACTTGTCAATGCTGGAATCGATCAAGTTTTTCACTGGCTGACGCGAGAAATTGACTTTTGGCAATAAAACGACTAATCACTATTTAAAACATTGGCAAAGTTTTTTTAAACTATCTATAAAACTATACTTTTACACATTGTGTCTTTTCACGTAAAAAAACTTTACTGAAACTATACAAGTTATTCTGTTTAATTTTTTAAGTATTGTAAAAAAATATTTACATTTATCACCTAATTATGTTAATGTTTTTACTGATAGTTGTCCGTATAAGGGCTTGTGAAGTAATAGTAGTACTTGCAAGGTACTATCTGTTTTTAAGTGTTAATTTATTTTTTTGTGCTTTGTTAATGAATCTCTTCAGGTGTTGGAGTAAAGTGGAATTGACTTAAATTATGAAGTGCTTGTGTGTAAAATTAGACGGAACGCGATCTCAGATAAGCTCTCCTCTGAAAAAGGTAATTTGATTCTTAACGAGTTGTTTGTAATTAAGTTGCGATTGTGCCGCTTTTAATGGAAGGTGCATGTTGAGTTTTCCGGATTGAACAGAAATTTACGAACGTGTTCGCTACAATAATCTTATGTAAAGTAGTTCGGGGAGAAAGCTCGAGAACAAAACGCTTTACAAGGTGAAATGCTAATATGTCATTCTTTAGCCGAGATTAATATCTGACAATGTCGTTAATCTGTTGTCTGAAACTCGTTAATCTTGGCGATAAGAAACAAAGTCATTAAATTCTCTATCGTAGATCGGCTGCACTCGAATTGCCGAAGTTTTAACCAGAAAAGTTTACTTTCTTTCCTCATGTGCTGCTTCTTTTTAATGTATACTCAAAATAAAAACAAATTTGCATTTTTTTCACATCGAGCTGATTTATGGGTGAATCATAATGGGTGCAAAGTTGCCATAAAGTGCAGAAGGTAAATAATGTTGTGTCAGCTTTCTTCTTCGAAAAAAATTTCAATACATAATCGGCTTTATTGAGATTGATCCAACAAGGACCCTGTCTCTATGATAGATCAATGAGGCGTTTCACAATTACCTCGGAATTATCAAGCGAGCTTGGTTAAGCTCTAACAAGGTAACTTTGGCTTAATTAGTGGAGCATACAAGCATATAACTCTAGATAAGATTTTTTTCATTTAAAATAGTTAAGATAGAATGTTATTATAGCAACATTTTAATTACGATTTTATGCCTTAAAATTGTATGTTCAGAACTCGTTGTTATTTTAACAGTGCATACACTGGACTAGTAGCAGTTGCATTGTATTTGTGCCTACAATGTCCCCACAACTAACAATTAAATGCAATGTTATAATGGCAGATCGATGAAAGAAAAGATTTGCAAGCAAAAATTCGTTAAAAGAAAATTTGCAGCAAAAATTTATTTCGGAATTCTGGCTAGGAATGAATTATATCTTTAAAAGAAAAATATTTGTGTTCAATTTTACTGAAAGGTAAGCAAAATATGTAAAAAATCTGCTAACATATAATATTATTATACAATAATACCACAATGAATGCCACTAACCTTATTTCCTAATGTTTTGTTTTATAATAAATTTTTTATTCCGTGAAAATGTCGTAAACCAATTTTAGCTTGTTATTAATTAAAAAAAGGAAAAAAAATATTTTTGATTTTACGCCAAAACTGCAAAGGAAAAACATTTTTTGCTTCACCTGCAATGAGCAAATCTGAAATTAAAATTGCTTTATTTCGATTCATTTGAAAAAAAAAGTTCATTTTCTCTTGATTTTAAACTTGTAATAATTTTTCTCTACATTTTAAATTCCATCACATTGGGTGTTTTATTTTTTTGACAATGATGTCACTTTGACAAAGTGAAAAACATAATTTTATAATATGTATAATTTTAATAAATGGCAACTCATAGAAACAGCTTTAAGATACAAAAACAAAGTCATTTTTAATAAGAACAATGACTATATACTTAATGAATTGTCAAAGTGACATCGTTGTCAAAAAAAAATAAAACCGCCATTGTGATAAAACTTAGAAAACATAATATAAAAAAATTACAAGTCCAAAATCAAGAAAAAAAAGAGCTATTTTTCCACTGAGTCATGAAGTTGTAATTACAGATTTGCTCGTTTCACATTAAGCAAAAATGTTTTTAAACCTCAGCGGCTTTGACGTAAAACCAAAGATAAAAATTTGTTTCCTTTTGTAAACTCAATCCGGGGACATACTGTAAAAATAAAAAAATTCAACATTTGCCAAAACAGTGTAGATTTTCTAATTTATTATTCTAATAATAAAAAGTGAAACAATATAATAATTATATAGATATCATATTTTTAAGAATCCAAAACCAAGCTAAATATTAACTCCTTAAATACTTTTTATACAGGGCAATTCAGATAAGATAATGAGCCTGACGATCTGGCGATGCAACCCAAAAACAGATTTCATTTACGCCTTTGATCTAATTTAAATTAAGATTTACAAGTTGAATCTAAGTTATCATCTTATGTCACTCTGACATCAACAGAAAACGAGCATTAGTGCCATTCAGTACTCGCGGAATGATAGAAAAATTACAGAAGTCTTTTCGGTGTAAACCCAATACAAAATGTATAAACGAATGAAACATTAAAGGTACGTAAACAGTTTTTTTTTATAAATCATAAATTGCTTGTCAAAGCACTATCAGAGCAACATAGGAAAACTTAGATTGCAAATGAGAATCTTAATTAAAATTAAATCAAGACGTAAATGAAATTTGTTTTTTGAGTTGCATCGCCAGATCGTCAGGCTCATTATCTTATCTGAATTGCCCTGTATAAATTTGGTCGATGCGCCGGACTAGTCAAATAATAGTTTTACAATTAAGTGTTTATTACAAATATAATATACATCATGAAGTGTTTTAAACAGTAAAATAGCTAACCATACAATTTATCTTTACTTTATTTAATTTATTAATAATTGTAGAATTACAATTACTCAGATATTATTTGATTTGATTGATTTTGATTGATAATTAATTGGGTAAACCTTATAATTTATATGATGTATATTGTGTTATTATTTTTAATTAATTGAACAATAAAACAATTTATTTCATAGTTAATCTTTAAATAATAGTTATTTATTCTATGAGTTTGAATGTAAATCGGACACATTATTTCACCGAGTGGATTTTTAAACCACAAAATAATCTGACGTTTCCTAGTGAGAAATGCCAAACAGTTGTCAAATCTTCCTTACCCGGGAGAAAAACCGTAAATTTTGACAGTGTCGAACTTCAAAAAAAAAAACATTAGATGTTCTAAAGTACAGTTGGACACAAAATACTTTGGTCGTCAATCTCACTTGAGTGACATTAAATTGTAAAGTATGCTTTAGAACTGTTAACCTTATTTTTAGCTACTGTCAATCATAGTTGACAAGTTGTACATATTTTTGATAGGAAAATATAATAGTTGTCATTAATTTGAAATTGTCATTCATTTTAACGTTAAAGCTTGAATTACATTAAAGTGTCAGAAAAGTGACGACCAAAGTATTTTGTCTCCAACTGTACCTAACGCAAATACAAATTTTATGCTTTCAAATGCGCCGCAATTGTATCAGTAATTAACAAACGTCATTTTGTGTACTGTAACGTTTAAGAATTTTTCTCTCCGGTGCGGAGGCATTATTCAGTCAAAATATCGAGCTAGCAAAACTTTGTTTACTAAAGAATTGTTTTAATTGTTGTTCCGTATCGCTGTCCTGTCACAAAGTTTCATAGTCAATTTGGCTAGCAAAAATAGAATTGAGCTGAAATTTGAGTTTTATACAGCTCCTTTATACAGGTCCACCTTCACCTTGAGGTACAGTTCATTTCTTAAAATTTCTGTTATCTCATTTTTCTTAATTTTTAGTCCTGTTTTTCCGGTTTTGGTGGTGTGGTTGTAGATTAATTCAGAAAAGTTTCCCTCGTTATATCTGCGTGTTCCCTGCTGGGAGGTCTTCTTGTTGAGAAAAATCTTCAAGTTTCCTTATTTGAATACTTTTCTTTTTGGATTCCTGCTTATCAAGTTAATAGTTTTGTTAATTATTGTTAGTTCAATTTGTTTTGATTTGGAAATTGCTTTTCAACAATTTTGTTAATAGTAGAAGCTCTGCGACTGTTGAGTGAATTTAATTGTAAAATTATTTTTTAAAACATTTAGTTTTTATTTGCGTCTTGCGGTACTACGTCACGCCAAATATTAATAGTGGTCAAGTCTAATTAAATTGGATATTAAACTGTCGCAGGGTAAATGATATTTAATCGTAACTCAAGTATTTCATATTTAATAAAATTACCTTTATAATTTGATAATTTCTTTTATTACCACCACCATCCTTTTTAGTTCGGTGACTAGCAGGGTAAAGAACATTAAAGACTAGTCACCTGGCGTCCAATATTTTTGTTT